TTATTCAAACCGGAGTTGATTGTGTCTAGATCTGGAAAAGTTACTGACTATATCAGCACTTACATTCAAGAAGGCTGTTGAAGTAGCAGTGTCATGGAGACTGCAGAAAAGGATTCTCTAGACTTTTTAATATCAGCCAAGAATTTCACCACCTGGATCAGTGAGACAGTGAACAATGGGAATGTAAGGAATTTCCATTTGTCCATTGCTCACAAACTGCATATTAAGAAGGATTGCTAGGTACACCAGGTTATTTGCAGGAAGTGCCAGAAGAAAGGGCATGTCACGGTAACCTGTCACACAGTTCAACGATCAGCAACATAGAATAACCATCATTTGAAGAAGACACCTATGAAGACTGAACCTAACAAAGGACAGAAGTCAGGAATGCATAATATGGAAACAGACTAACTCTAGTGATACTGGCCAAGACCTAGCACTGCCCATGGTATCAGAACACTTTGAAAATCTTCAAGAAATCCTGGACAGACCCTCCAAAGTTTTTGAAAAAGAACTTGGACACTGGAGCAATGAATTTCACTGTTACGTCTGACAGCAAACTAAAATATTGCAAGCCAAGAGTTGTGCCTTATGCTCTGATGCCTATGGTGGAAGCTGATTTGGACCATTTAGTGAACATTGGAGTCTTATCACTGATTTCACACAGTGAGTGGGCTACCCCCATCATATTAGTGATCAAGAAGGATGGCTCCTGTCCAAATTTATGGAGATATCCAGGTGACACTGAATCCAGTTTTACTTGCAGACCAGTATCCACTACCTTGTATTGAAGATTGTTTGCTACTCTTACTGGAAGACAGTGTTTCAATAAATTGTAGTTGCTCAGTACATACCTACAATGGAGACTGACCTGGCATCTCACAAAACATGCAAAAAGGTTGTTACAACAGGTTGCCTTTTGGTATCACATCAGCATCTGCCCTGTTCCAGAAAGCTATGGATGAGATTCTGAAAGGACTGAACTCCATTCAGTCTGATTTGGCTGACATCTTTCTTACAGACAAGGATCAAGACTATCTCCCTCAAAATTTGGATGTTGTCTTGCAGTGTTTGGAAGACCATAGACTGAAAGTACATCAAGACAAATAAAAGTTTTTCAGACCTTCAACTGAATACCTTAGGCATGTAATTGAAGCCATGGGCTTAAGGAAATCACCAGAGGAAAGAGAAGGCAGTTCTTCAAGAGCCCCTGCCAGAGACTGTCATAGTTACTTTCATTTTTAGGACTGCATAACTTCTGCCTAATCTGGCAACAGAATTAGGCACTCTTTAAATGACTTCTTACAAGAAAAAGGAAAAAATTGAAATGGACTAAAGAGTCTGAGTGTACATCAATCAAAGTACCAATGCACTTTCATGCTTCACTGCCATTGGCTTGTGATGCTTCACATTATGGAATGGGTGCAGTTCTTTCCCATAATTTTTCTAATGGCATGGAGAAACCAATTGTCTTTGCATCATGAACACTCACCACTCCTGAGAAGAACTATACACAAATAGAGTGAGAAGTTCTCAGCATTATTGTTGGAATGCGGAAGTTCCATACTTATCTGTATGATAGGTATTTTATCTTGCTGACTGATCATTGCTCATTCCTTTCAATTTTTGGATCAAAACATGGAATTCTGTCATTAGTTGTAGCTTGTATGCAAAGATGGATATTGCTACTTTTTCAGTTCATTCCTATACTAGCCAATTCTGTAAATGGACTCAGCATAGCGTGCCTGCCATGCCCAAGCTCCCATCAGCCCAAAGAATCTTTAGATTAAGTGGTTGTATCTCATTTGATGGATTGGTTACTCATCACTTGCATAAACATCAACAAAGAGACTGCTAAGGATGATGTGCTTTTCCTTGTGAAAGGAATGGTATTACGAGGTACAGTGTTGGATCATAAGAATCCCCAATTTACACAATTTGTGTCAAATCAATGTGAATTCTGTGAATCACCATTGCATCTTATGGGGAATGCTAGTGATCACTTCGAAATCACTTCAATCTCAGGTTTTAGAAGCTCTTAACAAAGGTAATTTTGGCATTATACGGCTGAAGGTCATAGCCCCGAGTCATGTGTAGTGAGTGGCCAGGGATCGACAGACATTGAGAGGAAGGTGAAGTGCTGTACTATGTGTCAGCAAATTCAACATGATCCTGGCCCAATTAGTCTACATCCTTAGTCATGACCTCAGACTCATTGGAGACACATTCATGTGGACTTTGCCAGACATTTTAGAAGGTTGTTTTTTTTTCTTAGTCTTAGTCAATGCCCATTCACAATAGCCAGAAGTTTCCAGAATGATGACGACTTCTACAGCTACGAAGACCATTGGACCTCTTTGTACCTGGTAAACCAAATTGGCTAAAACATTAGTTAGTTAGTAACAATGGACCTCAATACTGTTTTGAAGAATTCCAGAGTTCCTAATTTCAAATGGAATTCAACACACATGCTCTGCTCCATGCCATCCTGCTACAAAATGACTAGTGGAAGCAGGGGTGAAAGTAACTTAAGACTTAACGGTACTCCGGAGTCCTTGGAGGAGAGGGGGGGGTCCTCAACCGGAAGAGGCGTGGCCTCTACCAGAAGAGGCAGGGCCTTAAATCCCCGGGCACTTTAAATCAGGATTTAAAGGGCCCCGGGACTGGGGCTATGGTAGCAGCAGCTGGGAGCCCCGAGCCCTTTAAATCACCCTGGAACTACCAGCTACAGAGGCAGCTGGGAGCCCTGGGGGTGATTTAAAGGGCCCTGGGCTCTAGCTGCTGCTACCACAGCCCCAGGCCCTTTAAATCACCATCGGAGAGGGCCCCGGCCTCTGGCAGAGCTTTAAAGGGCCTGGGGCTCCGCTGAAGTAGTGGCAGCCGGGAGCCCCTGGCCCTTTAAATCACTGCCAGAGCCCCGCAGCTGCTACCCCAAGGCTCTAGCAGTGGGGCTCGGGTGGCAATTTAAAGGGCCCTGGAGGGTAGCGGCAGTGGGAGCCCCAAGCCCTTTAAATCACTAAATAGACTAGCAACTACAGTCATGGAGTGAAATTAGTACCTGGAGAACTTGTAAAATGCATGGGACCTGTGGGGTGGTTTTGCTGGTAAAATTATCCAGTGGTATTTTATGGAAACAACATATAGACTAGTTGCAGCCTCGAAGTACTGAAGTCAGAGCATATTTCAGTATGATACCAGATCCAGCTGATTCCTTACTCTAAACTGTTCCTGTTGTCCAGGACACTGCTACACCACCATCACCATGTTACCCCAAAAGGGAGGGAAAATCAGTTGTGCACCCGAAATTATAAATGGTTTAGTTTACTGAGTTGCTATTCCAGAGTAGAAAAATCCCTTGCAACTTCAGAAGCTGTAGGAGTCCACCCACAACTTTGTTAGCTACCATGAAACACTATATAACCTATGTAAATGATTGTGTGTGTGCAGTTGGAAAGTTTTTATAAAATAAGGTGAGGAATGTGAAGTCCTATCCCTTTAAGTGTTTGAACATTCCCTATTGCAAAGCCTCACCTTTGTGTTGGTTTGTTTTTCTGCCAGCACAATAGTCTCCAGAGCAAACAGCTGTATTTCTATCCTCTCCCTTTGTGTCTGTGTCCAATACTAGTAAACTTTGTACACCTAACTCTCTGCCCCTACAGACCCATCTGTGGTAGCAATGGTGGAAGCTATCATGGAGACAGGATGCAGACACACTTTTACTGTAATCCTCTAACCTTGCACTGAGCAGACTAAGGTGCAAAGCAATTGAGAATAAGTTCCCAGGTGTGTCTGCTGTAATAACTCCACGTACCTCATAAAACTAGATGACTTCATTTCCCCCTCTCCCCCATTCTATGAGCCTGATCCTAAAAAATTTCTTGGCTCGGGGTTACTCATGTGAATGAT